TGGTCGTTGGCATAGCAGAGGAGAGATGCTGCCTCTCTCCTGTGGTTCCCGTAGGATGAGTCTCCATTTCCAAAACAGCGCCCACTGCTCATATCACGTTATCTGGCCTGGGGCCTCTCGTGGAGGGGATGATGGCATTTCTGTGTCCCTAGCTTGGAGCCCAGCACCACTCAGCTTTCCACTGCCTAATTCGTGGCCGAGTGCAGCCCCTGGGACAAGCAGCACCGTGGCATCCAGGACCTGCCTCCACCCCTCCCTGTCACCCTCTCTCCTTTCTTCCTCCGCTTGCTTCCCTCTCTGCTGCTTCCTTTCCCAGCCTTTTCCCTAGAAACCTTCATCCCAGGGAAATTCCACTCTTTGCCACCAGGTGGCAGTCAAGGCTCACACAGCTTTGGAGGTGCCCTAAGTGTTCTTAATCAGATAACTACCACAAGTTGGCTTGGTTTTGGTTTTTACTGTCTGGAGAGGAAACTGCTTCCTCCGCCTCCATCGCAGCCTAATTATTCTTCCCAGCAGGGCCTGGCCCGTGTCAAGGAAACGTGAGGATGACTTCCAGGGCGTGTAGGCACCAGGCTGGCTTTTCAGACAGCTGTGTTCGGCGGGGTTGGGTGGATCCGCTGATTCCTGGAGAACGCGCGTCCACATTCTGAGCCAGCCCGCGGGCCAGGCCGGGTGCTGCTGCCTCGGGGGCCTTCAGCAAGTAGGTCTGACACAAGCCCCTGCTTTGGCTTCTGTTGCAATTATTGGGGTCATCCCTTTGCAGTGGGGGCTGGCCAGGAGCTGCATAAAGACAGGGCAGAAGGGACACAGAGAGGCCAGAGCACCTCGTCTGAGCCCCTGGAGCCAACCAACCGCAACCAAGAAATTCTCTCACCTGAAAGCCAGTTTGAATTGAGCATCTGTCTCTTGCAATAAGAGAGTTCAACTAATACACCTGGGAAAAGATCCTCTTCCCCTGCCGTGGAACCAAAGACAGGGGTGTGTGTGTGGCCTCTGGGGTCAGCTGCTTGCGTTTGAAGCGGGGGAGTCCAGGCGACAGCTTTAGGAAGCCCAGAGACAGCCTCAGAGCTGTCCAGCATCTGATCCAGAAGTCTTGCCCAGCGTGGGTACCTCTGAGCCTTGGGAGACTGGTGGTGTACAGCAGCCTCGGAGTTGTAGCCCTGTGTGGACAGCGATGCTGGTCGCTTACCTTCCAGGAGAAATGTGCACCAGACTCCAAGGGCTCTGTGCTTGGTTACATCCGTCCTCACGATAATTCCACACTGGGTGTGCAATGTCGTCCCCACCGTGAGTGCACTGAGGAAGAGATCTGAAAGCAGTTAAGACCAAGCTCACTTGCTGGTAGGAAGGAGGCTGGGTTTGAGGCCAGAGCATGCAAGGGAGGCGCCACGTGAACCTGCTCCCCCCCAGAGCCAGACCCAGGTCCAGTGGACGAGCTGTGACCAGCCAGGTGTGAGCCATCTAAGGCATCGTCCCAGGCTCTCGTCCCGAGAGCAGGACTGCAGCAGACCCTACGCACAGGTAGAAGCCAAGCCGGCAGCCGTGGAGCAGCGGGCTCTCCACAGGTGACAGGAGCCCCTGGCATGATGGGTCACTTACCCACTGGGACTTAAACCTCTGAGCATGAGTTTCCTGTCTGTAAAAATGGGATGCAGAGGGCCGGCACCACGGCTCACTAGGCTAATCCTCCACCTTGTGGCGCCGGCACACGTGGTTCTAGTCCCAGTCGGGGCGCCGGATTCTGTCCCGGTTGCCCCTCTTCCAGGCCAGCTCCTGCTGTGGCCAGGGAGGGCAGTGGAGGATGGCCCAGGTACTTGGGCCCTGCACCCCATGGGAGACCAGGAGAAGTACCTGGCTCCTGCCATCGGATCAGCGCGGTGCGCTGGCTGCAGCACGCCAGCCACGGCAGCCATTGGAGGGTGAACCAACGGCAAAAGGAAGACCTTTCTCTCTGTCTCTCTCTCTCACTGTCCACTCTGCCTGTCAAAAAAAAAAGGGGGGGATGCAGAGATGTTCACCCTGGGTACCAGTGTGGTGGTACAGCGGGTTAAGCTGCCATCTGCGACATCGGCATCCCATATCAGAGTGCCTGTTTGAGTCCTGGCTGCCCCTCTTCCCACCCAGCTCCCTGTTAATGTGCCTGGGAAAGCGGTGGAAGATGGCCAAGTGCTTTGGTCCCTGGCCACCTACACGGGAGACCTGGATGGCTCCTGTCTTGAGCCTGGCTCAGCCCTGGCTATTGAGGCTATTTGGGAAGTGAAGCAGCAGATGGAAGCTCTGGTTCTCTCTCTCTCTCTCTCTCTCTCTCTCTCTCGTGTGCATGTGTGTGTATGAGAGAGACTCTGCCTTTATAATTAGTTTTTTAAATGTCCACTTTGCAAGATTGCTCTAAGCATTCCAAGGGCTCAAACACTGTGCCTGGAGCTCAGCCGGGACACAGAGCCGTTCCAGGGCGCACAGGGGCTTGGTCTGGCAGACCCTGAGGGGTGCGCCCCTGGCCAGCTTGCTTCTCCAAACAGAAGGGAATGGGCTGTCCGATAGCAAAGGCAAAGCCGGGGCCTCTCTCCGACAGGTGAGGTTTACCCAAGGTTCAGACAGGCCTGTCCTCAACCGGGCAGTGCGATGAGCAGCTCCGCCCGGCTGGGGGCTTGGTGACAGGTGGACGAAGCGAATACGCTATGGGATTAAATAACGAGGAGACGTTCTGCCAACAAAATTAACTTGTCCAGCCCCGTTCCTTAGCAACTGCGCTATTACTGAGGTCTCATCCTGAAGCCCGGGGCTGCTCACACCGCTCCCTTCCGTCAACACGCGAGGCACAGTTATTTATAACTTAATGAAAAGGAGAATAAAGCATGGGATGGCTGCGACAGGAAGCCCCGAGCGAGCGCCCTGCAGACTGCGCCGGGCCGGCGGCAGACAGCAGCTTGCCTGTCGGGGTGGTGAGTCCACTTCCGGCCCTCCAAGGGCTGCACTGCCCCATTCTGCCTTCTGTGGAAACGCGGCACATCTGCCAATCTGATCTGGTGCTGCCGGCTGCCATTGTTCGCCAGTCGGCCCCTGAGTGCCGCAGTTCAGGGCACAGCGTCCTCGGAAGAGCTCTTGTGCGGCAGGAGTGGGCACAGAGAGGTAATTGGCTGGCGGCAGAAGGGCTGGGGCGGGGGTGCTTCTTTCAAAGCTTGGGTAGCCCGAGACCCGCTCTCCTGCGGCTTAACCTGCCGCACCAAAACACCAGCCCCAATACCTGTTTTAATATTATTGACTTCCTGTGCTCACTTGGGCAGCACATATACTAAAATATAATTGACTTCCTTTGTGAGCCTGTGTTCTGTTTTATGCATTTAAAAATAATATCTTGGAAATGCTGCATACGTAAAGATAGAGTAAATGTGTTTTTCCCTATTCCTCCTGCTAAGTACAACAACAAAAAACCCGCGAGTGCTACATACAAGGAAAAGGCTAAGGGAGTGGGTGTTCAGCCTAGCAGACACGGACACCGGCTGGTGCTCCGGGATAAGCCCCTGCACCCTCCCTGAGTCTCAGCTGCCCCTCTGTTGAGTGGGGGATTGGAGCAGATGTGCCTTGGGGCCCTGCTGAGGGCCTTGGGCTCCACATCTGTGGCCGAGGGCTCGTCCACCAGAACCTGTTGTTTACTTTGTGGCACACACAGCCCGGGGGTGGGAGGGGCAGACTCCATCTCCAGGACCCAGCTGACCCAGCTGCAGCCACAGCTCCAGGAGGCAGCAGCACTGGGAAGTGCAAGGCTGGGTCTGCCCATCCTGGCATCTGTGTCCGTCCTCAGCCGCGGGGACTGGGGAGCCTGCCTGTACCCCGCAAGGCAGGTGTGTGGACAAGGAGCAGCAAGCTGCTGTTCTCGGAGCAAGCGCACTGACCACAGCGTGATGAGTACCCTGTGTCCAGCGTGACACGGCCATGAACGCAAATCAACCGTAATGAATGGGACACAAACATCCTAACTGATGACAGCATGCCTTTTCCCTGTGATCTTTCTTGCCTGGTGGGCTGATTATTCTGGCTTTAGCAGCGGCCCCAGAGTATCCTCACCTGCTGATTATCTTAACGAGCACTTGAGTAGCAATGGCCTGCGAGTCGCTCATGCACTTGTGCGTTTCATAGGGCATTCATTTCAGGCAGCCAAAGCACCCTCTGGTCTTCCACTCAAGTGGAAGATAACCAGCAGCAAATGCAGAAGATACAGGTAATAGACCTCACCTGGGCGGGGTCCACCACGGGCAAAGCTTTGCTTGGAAGAACCACTGTGGGTCTGGCTTTGTCTCAAAGGCAGCTTTGTGCCACGGATGCCAGGAGACCAGATGTCTGGGCATCCAAGCACACTGGCAAACACAGAGCAGTTCAGGACTGGCCATGGCCGTGTTGAGAAGCAATGTGCTCCCCGAGAGGCAGCACAAGGCAGTTGGGGGCCCCGTGGGTTTGGGAGCAGCCTGCCCGAGTTTGAGTCTGGGCTCGACCCCTCACAAGCTGTATGGCCTTGGGCAAGCTATTTCATCTCTCTGCAGCTGTCTCTCCCAGTCCACAAGTGCAATGCCGCTGGGTTGCAGATGGCCACAGGTGTTTGGCTGCTCCTGCCATCGAGAGGGGGAGCCCATTTCTCCACCCGTTGAATCTGAATGGCCTTGAGGCTTATTTTGAGCCAGAGAACACAGCAGAGGTGAGTCCCAAGCCTGGCCATGAGCTGCTTGGTAGCTTGCAGGGCCTCTCATGGAAGCTTGGCACCATGGGACAAGCCTGGCTGGCCTCCTGGAAAATGGGGGGCTACGTGGCGCAGAGATGGGTGGTTCCAGTGGAGGATCCCCTGCCAGCCCTGGGACTTGGAGGTGAGGCCACCCTAGGCCTCCAGTCCCAGCCAGTCCCCCAGCTGAGCCAGCAGGACTAGAAAGACCACCCCGCTGACCTACAGAGTTGTAAAAATACTACCTTTGTTGTTTTTAAATAAATTATTTATTTATTTGAAAGGCGGAGTTACAGAGAGGCAGAGACAGAGGCAGAGAGAGAGAAAGAGAGGTCTTCCATCTGCTGGTTCATTCCCCAGATGGCCGCAATGGCCGGAGCTGGACCAATCCGAAGCCAGGAGCTAGGAGCTTCTTCCAGGTCTTCCACATGGGTGCAGGGGCCCAAGGACTTGGGCCATCCTCTGCTGCTTTCCCAGGCCGTAGCAGAGAGCTGGATCGGAAGTAGAGCAGCTGGGTGTCGAACTGGCACTGGGATGCTGGCACTGCAGGCAGCAGCTTTACCCACTACACCACAGCGCCGGCCCCGTATCTTCATTGTTTTAAGCAATGGTTTTGTGGTGGTATGTTATTCAGCAGAGGCTAAAAGCTACTTGGAGACAAACCATGGGGCCTCCCTCAGAGCTTCTATCTGCCTGTCTCTCTATAAACTGCTTGGCCACCAGGCAGGTAGTAAGCTTTCGACACAATCTGCAATCATTATCACAATCATTATTAATAATCATTATCTTAATGTCCATTGTGTGGAGCAAGGCCACATGACAGGCAGGTCCAGTGAGAGACCTGAGCTTTAGTGTCTTCGTCGGTAAAACTGGGGGCCTGCAGAGCTGCCATGGGCCCTGGCGGCGTGTGAGCCAAGTGCAGTGCAGGAGCCCCAGCACGGGCCACTACTGCCTCCCTCTGCTGCCACCGCATGCCCGGAGCAGCAGGGCGCCTCCCGTGTGCACCGCCCAGGTGCCCTGGGCTGTTCTGTGGGACCTGGAGAGAGAGGCCCGTGCCCTACGACAGTTGTCACCTCCTGCCAGGAGTGGGCGTCACCCCCACGAAGCCTGTGCCTTGCACCCCCAACCGAGGCTCATTCACGGCTGGAATTCGGGTCAGCACAGAAGCCTGCGTCTCCTATAAGACCATTTGTTAAATGAGCACCGTATCAACACTGTTTTGAATTGGTTCTCAAACATGATTTTTTAAAATTTTATTTGTTAACTCTTTATTTAAAAGCAGAGAAGCAGACAGACACACACTGACTCACTCCCCCATATTAGCCCACATGAGCCAAGACTGGGCCAGGCCAAAGCCAGGAGCCCAGAACTCAGCCTGAGTCTCCCACATGAGTGCTGGAACCCAAGTACTGAGGCCATCACTCACTCCCTCTCGGGGTATGCATTAGCAGGAAGCTGGAATTGGAAGCGGATCTGGGACTCGAACCCAGGTACTCCGATACAGGATGTAGATAACCCGAGTAGCATCGTAACCATGCACCAAATGCTTCTCCCTCTCAAAGATGACGGTTTAAAATACACAATCCCACAGAAAGAGTTTCTGAACCAGCAGGTCTAAGGTGGGGCCTGGGGACCTGTTTTTTAAAGGCTGTGCCCCTTCCATTTGTTATAACTGACTAATGGTAACTGCAAGCTGATGAACTCACTTGTTTTTGGTATTTGGAAAGTGGTGCAATCCCCAATTTCCCAAACACATGTAAAAATAGGTTCTACATAAAAACTGGAAAGGAAATCCAGATAGGTCTTCAAGGGCTTTCTGAGCCTACCCTGAAAACCCACAATTGCAGAATGTTTAGGGCTCTGGGGCTGGTGCATTGTGGCGCAGAGGGTTAAATGGCCACTTATAGCAAGGGCATCCCATATCTGACCACCATTCCAAGTCCTGGCTGCTCTGCTTCTGGTCCAGCTCCCCTCTGATGCACCCAAGAGAGCAGAGGAAGATGGCCCATGTTCTTAAGCCCCTGCCACCCACCTGGGAGACCAGGCTGGAGTTCCTGGCTCCTTTTATCAGCCTGGCCCAGCCCTGGCTGTTAGGGTCATTTGGAGAGTGAACCAGCTCTCTCATGGCTCTACTTTTCAAATAAATAAATCTTTCAAAACATGTCCAGAGCTCTGTCCTTCAGATGGTGACTCCTCCACCTTGTCACCATCTGAAAGTATTCACATCATTTAGGAAAAAAGAGAGAAATACCGTGAAGCAGTCAAGAAGGAAGACTCCACAGCAGACACCGTTTCCCACTCTGCATCCGTATCTCCAGCCAGCTGAGTCTCCATGTTTTATGAGTACCCTGTGAAAAGTTTTAAAACGAAATTAATTGCAGTTTGTGGCCACTGCCAGCAGAGCTCCTGCGGGGACTTACAACAGGTGGCTCACTGTACTCCCAGGGAGGCGTGGTGGAAGCCTAAGGGAGTGGGAATTCAAAGGCCTGATGTGAATTTCTCCATTCTCACCCTAACTGGCCTCGTTTGGATCGCCAGTCCCCCAGGCCCTGGCGAGGACTCTGGCTTACCTTTCTGCTTCCTAGGATGTTGAAGAAGTCACTCCTCTGCCCTCCACTCGTTCTAAACCTTCAGTAGCTCCCCCTGCCTCCCAAGGAGGACCAGACCCTTAGCTTGAAATTCAAGGCAGGATGCAATAGTGGTTAGGAATGCAGGCTTTGGAATCCAAAACCCAGCTCCACACCTACCCGTTGTGAAACCTTGGCAAACACTTGACTTTGCTCAATGTCTGTTATCCTGTGTGCAACTGAAAAGAATGACGAGGATGACGCCTGCTTCCTAATGTGCTGGAAACAAACGCTGTAACATAAGGTACTTGGGCTCTGTGCTAACGCACAGGTAAGAACTCAGCACCGTGACTGGTATTAATCTTCCTGGATCCAGCTTCAGCCAGCTCATCTTTCGCTAAGCACCACCTACACCTTTGCCAGGGGCATCAGATTTCCCTGGCCTGGCTATTCGCCTTATCCTGCCCACGTGTGCTCTCCCACCATCGCCCTCTCCCTTACTGAAGAGCCCAGGCATCCTCCAAAGTCCCACTCAAATGTCACCTCATCCTGAAGCCGCACCTCCCAACGCTTGGAAAATCCTGGCCCGAGGTGGCAGAGTCACGGCATAAACCCCAGCCAGAGTGGCTGCAGCATCTGTGACCAGGGCCGCGCAGGATCTGGGAAGGCCAAGCAGCGGGAGACGGGAGACGCAGGGTGGATCCCACACTTTGCAGGTTCCCTTGGATTCCGGAAGGGCTCTGAAGAGCACCTCACCCTCCCAGGACTCTAACTTCTCTGCACTTCCCGCAGGTTTGAGGGAGACATCTCAGCTTCCCGTTTGTCTTTTCCAGCCTATGCTCATCTGCTGACAGTGATTAAACAGAGGGACATGCAGGCCGCGGCTTCCCCCCGTCAGGGTGGCCAGGATCCCACGCGGAAGCTGGCCTGATGTCATTTAAGGGGACAAAGGCGGAAGTAAGTTACAAAACATAAAATACAGCTTAACCCCTTTTAGATAAAATATAAACTTTGCATACACAAGGGTACTTAAAATGTTTCATGGACAATAGAATCAAGATAAATTTACTTTGGTGCAAATGTTTTTGAAAGTCATGCATATGAGGGGAGTCTTTAAATACTTCACAAACAATGCATATGATGAAAAAAAATGCATGGATTTCAAAAGCGATTTTTCCTGTGTTCCAGTACAGCTTCATTCCCAAGGCTGGTGGTGGCTGGTGGTGGCTGGCGGACCAGTTTGCTGCTCTTCGGTCACTCTCTATTTCAGGTACAGGCACTGCAACCAGAACTTGTTCATTAGGACATGGTTTTTAAAGATTATTTTATTAAAAAAATGTTTACTGGGGTAGTGGGTTAAATTGCTACCTGTGTTACTGGCATCCCATAAGGGTGCCAGTATGGTTCGTGTCCGGGCTGCTCCACTTCCAATCCAGCTCCCTGCTAATGGTTTGGGAAAAACAGAAGACGGCCCAAGTGCTTGGGCCCCTGCACCCATGTGGGAGACCCAGATGTACCTCCTGACTCCTAGCTTTGGCCTGGCTCAGCCCTGGCCATTGCAAACATCTGGGGGGTGAACCAACAGATGGAAATCTCCCCCCCTCTCTCTGTAACTCTTTCAAAATATCTATCTTTTTAAAAGTGTTATTAATTTGCAAAACACAGTGCCGTGTTTCAACACAACATACAAAGCCAGGCTACCAGTCTTCCCACTCCTTACCTCTTCTCTAGGTTTGGGGCTGCCAGTTCCTGTCTTGCTGTTCTTGGTACAGTTTGGGCACATTAGCAGAGTCCAGGGAACCCCACTGTGCTGTGGAACTTGGAACTGGTCATTTCTGACTGTCCTAGTGCCCCTTATCTGGCCTCCCTCCATCCCCCTGCCCGCCCTCCAACTTTTTGTGCCTCAAAATCAACTTGACCTTCAATTCCATTTTCCACGAACTTTTTCCACTTGCATACTTCCCTGGAAAGGAAAACACACACACTGTCAACCCCCACCCCCACCCCGGGAAATTTTCACTCATTCCTTTTTAAAGAAAAACCCAGTCTGGGAAGACCTGTCTATGCTGACCTCTGGCATCCAGCAGCTGGCTGAGTCATCCACGCCGGAATTGTCTGGGACGCGGGAACCCCCGGTGGGCTTTGCTCTGCCCCCCAGGCTGCTTTGGCTCCACCAGCTGACTCCACGTCTTCCAGGCGACACAGGAGCAGAGCCACTCATGCCCTAGTTGGTTTGTGCCCGCCCGCACCCCCCCCCCCCCCGCAATGCGAGATGCGGGAGAGCCTGCCCCAGACGCCTCCTCCTCTTGACCCACACCCACCGGGTCCCTACCCTCGGCACCGCGGTCCTGATCAAGTCCAAAAAGGATGCGGACCGCTGAAGTCCCCACTCCATGAACAACATACGCGCCCTCGGGGCCGATGCGCGGGAAACACGCACAAGGGCCCGAGGGGGCCCAGCGATGAGAGGAGTGTCCCGGCCCTGCCCTCGCCCGACAGCACCCCCTAAGGGGCCACCATGCGGCTCCGGGGCGGCGGGATCCTCCACCCCCATCCGCCGCCTGGGCTTGGCCGTAGAAGAGAAGCCAGGGAGGGTGCAGGCGACACCCGGAGTGGGAACAGAACTGGGAGACTCTGGCGTCCGCGGCGCCTGGGATAGCCGGGGGACCCCAAAAGGGCATGAGGAGTGAGGCTCTGGTCCCAGCCCTGCAGCACGGTAGAGAGGCTCGGGGGCGCGGTCGCGCAGGAGCGTGCCCGTGGGGAGGCGACCCCCGCACCGACATGGCGCACCCCCCCCCGCCCCACGTGGGTCTGGAGCTTCAGCCACAGCGAGGTCGGCAACAGGGGCATGCGGGCCCTCGGGAGCGCGCAGTGACCCACGGTGAGCACGAGAAGCGAGAATTTGGACGTGGAGCGGTCGCGGGCCCACCGGAGGACTCGAGGTAGCAGAGGACGGGGCCGCATTCCCAGGGCTGCGACTTGGAGGTGCAGGCCACGGTCGGCAGCCAGCAAGTCGGAGGAGGCCAGAGGCGCGTGGGTCACCTGGTGCCTGTTGGGGCTGCCAGGGAGGCGGGTGAGAGGGGCGGTGCCCGGGACGCCCTCTGAGCTGTGGAGAGCGCAGCTGCGGGGAGCCGTGGCCTGCAGCACCCCAGGATCTGCCGCCGGCGGGGGCCTTAGCCTTCGGAGAATGGCCCGAGCCGGCAGCCGCCCTGGGACGCGCGGGCGGTACCAGGAGCCCCTCACCCAGGCGGTCTGTGCGGGCGCTGCGCACGGTCGGGTCCCCGCACGGCTGCCTCTAGGCCTGGGATCCTGAAGTCAAAACCTTCCTTTGCACCGGGGCACAGGCCCCTGGATGGTCAGGTCAGCTGCTCGGGGCACTGCTCCTTACGGTCTCAGTCTAAGCGTTTAGAGGACGCCCGGTGCCCTCCCAGAAGTAGCGCAGGTGTGTGCGCGCCCCGAGCTCCGTCCGCACACTGGAAAGGGGCCTGCTGGAGGGGACTGGAGGCCCGGAGGAAATGCGAGGAAGTGAGACCTGGCGAGGTGAGGGAGGCGCTACCAGTGCTCCGGTTTTTCCACCCACCACTGCGACGCGGAGGTCTTTGTGTCCCCAGTATTAGCCCTGCAAAAGGCGTGGCCATGGAAGGACGGTCCTCATGGGCACGCCGGCCACCACCAGGCTGCGTGTCTGACTGCCAATGGTCGTTATGCTGCAGCCCCGTGTGTCCTTCCCAGGGGACGGCGCCTTCTGCCCAGGGTGAACTCAGGGGTGAGGGAGGAGAGGAGCCCAGAGCCTGACTCCCAACCTAGACCTCAAACCTGGAGGCTCTGCTTAATTTTTCCGGCTCAAAAGGACATGTTCATGGCTTGGCAATGCTGAGAGGAGAGGGTGGTGTGGCTTCCCTTGGTCATTGGTCTCATTGCAGAAGGGGGAGGGGGCCAGGGGATTTCATCATCAGCCAGTGGAGAAGAGGATTTTCAGGGAGGAAGGGGAGGGGATGCGTAACAGCAGAGGCTGTTAGCTCTTTGCTTTTCTGGTGCAGGTTTCTTTATTCCCACTCCAAACGCCAAAAGGAAGTGCGCTTGACCTTTTATCGCTGGGCCCCTCTTCAGGGCGCTCAGTGAGACTGACCAGGTTGGGGGTCCTGTGGGGATCCGTGCAGACTCCTGTCACCCGCCTCAGCCTGGCGCTTGTCGGGGAAATGACGGCTTCTGTGAGCTCCAAGACTCCCTAGTGGGCGGGGAACAGGAGAAACTGCAGCCCTGCCTGGGCTTGGTGCCTCTGCCAAGCCTTGTTCACCTCCCAGGAGTCACCCGGGAGACAGGTGCTCAAATCCCAGCGCCTCCCTTCCCTGGCTGACACGGGGAAGAGGCAGAGACGGCAGCCTGGAGACATGAGTGGTAAAGGAGAGGGAGCTGAGAGGCAGAGAATGGCTCAGAAACACCTACACTCGGTTCTCCAGCGAAGGCTGCTGCTTCCGAAGGCTGGTTGTGAATGCCTGGCATTTCCTAAATCGAGATTTCAACTCTCATGCAATCCGAAGAAGCCCAGTATCTGAAAATGAGTTTATCTCACTTTGCAGGATAAATGGGTCCCTGAAAAGGTGCACATAAATCAACCTTAAGTGATGTTTCACATGTGCCAGGAAATCTAATTTATGACTCTTTTGTCTAGATTTTCTTCATAGACAAATGTGTCTGGATGATTTTGGAGTTTCCCAAATTGTATGTGGGAATTGGGCAATACAATACCTACATTAAAATAATTATCCAGTCATGATGGTGTGGAAATGAGGCATGGGAGCCGGCGCTGTGGTTTAGAAGGTTAAGCCTCCGCCTGCAGGGCTGGCATCTCCTATGGGCACTGATTCAGGTCCTGGCTGCTCCACTTCTGATCCAGCTCCCTGCTAGTGAGCCTGGGATGGCTCAAGTACTTGGGGTCCTGCACCCATGTAGGAGACCTGGAAGAAGCTCCTGGCTCCTGGCTTTGTCCTGGCCCAGCCCTGGGGGTGAAACAACAGATGGAAAATCTGTGTGTGTGTGTGTGGGTGTGTATGTGTGTTTCTCTCCTTCTCTCTGTATCTCTGACTTCAAATAAATAAGTATTTTTTAAAAAGAAGAAATGAGGCCAGCGCCATGGCTCACTAGGCTAATCCTCCACCTGCGGCGCCGGCACCCAGGGTTCTAGTCCCGGTCGGGGTGCCAGATTCTGTCCTGGTTGTCCCTCTTCCAGGCCAGCTCTCTGCTGTGGCCTGTGAGTACAGTGGAGGATGGTGCAAGTGCTTGGGTCCTGCACCCGCATGGGAGACCAGGAGAAGCACCTGGCTCCTGGCTTCGGATCAGGGCGATGTGCCAGCCACAGTGCGCCGGCCGCGCCGGCCATTGGAGGGTGAACCAATGGCAAAAGGAAGACCTTTCTCTCTATCTCTCTCTCTCACTGTCCACTCTGCCTGTCAAAAAAAAAAAAATTAAAAAGAAGAAATGAGGCCTGGCCTTCTCTCTCTGACGGATCCGTGGATTTAGGCTCCCACAGTCTTGGGGAGCACAGAACTGGATGTTGTACCCTGGTAATGCTGACGCCTCGGGGTCACAGCAGACCCACATGGAACAGGTCAGCGCTGGAGTTGGGATCGACGCATTCAGACTGAGTGGCATGTTTTCCTTGGCACAGTTTTTCCTTGTGTTGGCCCTGGCCATCCCGAGGTCATGTAGCCACTCCATGTGTCTAACCAGCTTGGATTATTAATTCCACACTGGAGAGTGTGAATTAATGTTTATTGCGCACCCACAATGTGTCAAACACTGTACAAACTCCACCCCAAGAAGCGTCACACAGTGATTCACCAACACATGGGTCTTGGCACACATAGCAAAGCATGAATGCATGAGAGAAATCAGCCAAGGACCTGCCCTGGGACACCTCTCCTCTGTGGGGGATGGGCCCTGCGCTGCCTCCCAGACCCAGCCTCACTCTTGCCTGGGTGCCTTCGAAAGACTGCTAAATGCTCATGAAGGCAAACCACAGCACTTACCTGAGAAAAGCAGCCTGGCGCTTAGCTACCCTAGGAAAAGAGCAGCCTGAAAATCCACGAGAAATAAAAAGCAGGGAGGTTGCATCAGTTGGGATATTGTTACCTTAGCATCTCCCACAGTTGCTATTTCCGGGTAACTGTTGCCAACAGGTACTGAGACACTCCTCTGCCGACTCGGTGAGATAAATCTGTTGACTGGCTGCCAAAAGTGAGACCTGGGGATGATGCTTGCGAAGAGGATTACAGCCTTGGGCAAGGCTGCTGCCAAGTACCAGGCTGGCTCCGTTCCCAGCTTTCCTGCCTGCCTGACTCCTTGCAGGAGGCGGCCTGGGAACAGCCCTCAGACGCTTGACATTAATGCAAACGAGCTATTCAATGCAACTGTCTACCTACAACCCTATGCGGGTGTCTCTGGGAGCCACCTCTGAGAGATGTTTTTTTAGGTTGATTCATATTTACCAACCGGTCCCGAATAGATTTCAGATAGAGTGAGAGTCTGAGTTGCTGTCCAGTTGCCGATTTTTGTGTTTCCTAAAAATGTTTATAAACACAGCATACTTCTCAGCCTCTCAGGTGACTCCACAAAGTCCATGGGAATGTTTAAAACTTTCTTAAGTTGCAGGCATGACCAAAACCAGAGGCAGGTTTTCTAGTGATTACTGGGAACACTTTGTTCTCACAGTTGATACAGACTTAAATTAAGCTAACAATCAGGGAACATTTTTATTTTTTCAACACCCTGACAACCAGGATTTGGAATAATTCATAATATATCACTTTATAGTGCAATTAATCCATAATTGAATGATGTTTCTTCTAAACTGATTGGACTCGGTACCTAACACAGGAAATGCGCAAGAAACTGGGGAATGAATGCCTGTATATTGCAGTTACAAAGATTTGCCTCCATGTCAGCGATCAGGTCTGAAGAGTAAAAGAATGCTCGCCAAGTATGATGTGTAATTGTCAAGTTCAGCTCCTAACTCTTGCCACACTCGGCAAGTACAACTCAAGCTTCACTCAGACATGTCTGAGATTCACTGGAAACAGGGTAATTCTTTTTTTTTTAAAGATTCATTTTATTGGGCAGGCACTGTGGCACAGCAGGTTAACGCCCTGACCTGAAGCACCCGCATCCCATATAGGCGCCAGTTCAAGGCCTGGCTGCTCCACTTCCTATCCAGCTCTCTGCTATGGCCTGGGAAAGTAGTAGAAGATGACCCAAGTCCTTGGGCCCCTGCACCCAAGTGGGAGACCTGGAAGAAGCTCCTGGCTCCTGGCTTCAGATCGGCCCAGTTCTGGCCATTATGGCCAACTGGGAAGTGAACCATCGGATGGAAGACCTCTCTCTCTCTGTCTCTCCTCTCTCTGTGTAACTCTGACTTTCGAATAAATAAGTTACAGAGAGAGGTATAGACAGAGAGAAGGAGGATAATTCTTAAGACATTTAACTTTGGATGCACATTAAAATCACCGGACATGCTTTGAAAAATGCTGATGCCCAGGCCCCATCTCAAATCACTTAGTCGGGGGCTAGGGTCTGGGCTTCTTGTTTCCCAGGTGATTCTGGGGCAGCCAGGGCTGAGAACCAGTGATTTAAATCTTGCAACTGAAAGACCAATCAGATGCCTCCCTAACTAACCCCCTGCATCCCCATCCCCCATCCCCTCCACACATGCCCATCAAGAGAAAGCTCTGAAGCTGTGTGAGATGGCTGCCTTGAGCCCCTCAAGTAATGGAGCCCCAGAAAGTGCAGGAGCCATCTCCGGGATGCTAAGGCAGTGAGCTCATTAGGGCTAAAGGACACAATGCTGTGAACTGGGCTGCAGTACTAGTGTGGGGTCTCTGTTCTCCAGGCCATAGATCAGACTCAAGTCAGTGTAGTGCCATGTCAGACGTAATTTGCCTCTCCCACCCTAACTTGCTTTTTCCTTTCTCCCCAGCCAGCCTTTAACCTACCCTTCCCCCATGCTGCCAAATGTCCAGCCCTGTAACTACTCAATACTCCCACTGCTGGGGCAGGAATTGTAGTATAGCAGGTTAAACCACCACTTAAGGCATACATATCCCATATCAGTGCCTGGGATGGAGTCTTGCCTCTGTTTCTGTTCCAGCTTCCTGCTCATGCACACCCTAGTCAGCAACAGATGATGGCCCAAGCACTTGGGTTCCTGCCACCCATGTGGGAGACCCAGATGGAATTCCTGGCTCCTGGCTTCGGCCTGACCCAGCCCCTGCTGTTGCAGGCATTTGGGGAGTGAACCAGAAGATGAAAGATCTCTCTCTCTCTCTCTCTCTCTCTCTCTCTGTGTGTGTGTGTGTCACTCTACCTTTCAAAATAATTAATTTCTAAAAACTTAAAGACTCCCAATACTGACTGGCCCGATCATAAATACTCATTATCCCATTATGGTTGGAAATCAGTATAGTAAAATTTCGTCCTTGTCAGCCCCATCATCATCCCATCTTTTGTTTTCCTTCTGGGACACACTTTAATGAGTGATTGAGAGTGTATCTGCGGGACTGGTGCTGTGGTATAGTGGGTAAAGCTGCCACCTGCAGTGCCGGCATCCCATATGGGCATTGGTTCTAGTCTCGACTCCTCCTCTTCTGATCCAGCTCTCTGCTATGGTGTGGAAAAGCAGCAGAAGATGGCCTAAGTCCTTGGGTCCCTGCACCCACGTGATAGACCTGAAAGAAGCTCCTGGCTCCTGGCTTCAGATCTGCCCTGCTCCAGCTATTGTGGCCATTTGGGGAGTGAATTGACCTCTGCGTCTATATGCCTCTCTGTAACTCTGCCTTTCAAATAAATAAATAAATCGAGAGACAGAGAGAGAGAGAGAGAGAGAGAATCAGAGCAAGAGAAGTGTGAGGAGGGGAAGCATTGATTCTTCTGTTTAGTGACCTGGCAGAGTGGCTGCAGACATCAATCCATGCCACAGGCACCACCGGGCTGATGTGACAGCTGAGCGTTGTGCGTCATTTCCCACGGCACCCACCTCACCGCCCAGTTGCTGTTCCATCATTGATTGTGAAGACCCTTGTTCCAGGGCACTTGTCCTTGCTGTCAGAGCTCTCAGAGGTTAAAGTGACGGCTGTCAGCCTGGGGCCATGCCCAACAGTCTCCACCTGTTCCCTAACCCCAGAAATACTTAGTGCTGGATCTGTGCATCTTGTGGACGCCAGTTGTTTTCCTGAACTGTCCTTAGGTAAACTTCTCGCAGCTCTTGTGTTCTGGGTTGATCGTGTTCCAAGTGTCAGCACAGACAGGTGCTGAGCAGTCAGTCCGCAGCTGTTGATCGGTCGCAAGTGCGCAACTACAGGATGCAAGAGAACGCTAGAGCACACTGTGAGTATTCAAATCACATAGTTCAGTGCCTGCACACACACACACACACACACACACAGAGAGAGAGAGAGAGAGAGAGAGAGAGGGAGAGGACATCTGTCCTTACATCCTGTTACATGTCTCTTTAAGTGAATGGGACCTTTTCCTCTTTATCTCTTCATTGAATAATTCATCTCCTCATTTAAAAATAGCAGTTACGGAGTAAGGAGGAGGGACAACAAAAACAAGACCTTTTGCACAGGGGATGGTCAGTGCTTTCCATACTATAGCTTCCTGGTTTTGACACTAAACCCCTTTCCATATATACAGATCTCACTGAGGAAATGCTAAAAACCAAGACGTGTTTGCGTAATACACATTTACCTGAAACTCTAGAAACCCAGGGATTCAAATAGACTACAGGATGTCAGGTATTATATCTCAGCGGAGCCCTCTTCAAAGGCAAATGGAAAAGCTTTATCAGCCCTAAGGCAGTGATTTTAAATCCCACCCACATTGTTCCTCCGCTGCCACCGAGCAAGTAGAAGGGAAAGCCTCACTCTGGTGCACTTCAGTCGGGGAGAAAGAGCTTTGTTTGCCTTTCAGGGGCATAAGGAGGAAACAACGCCCCCCTCGCTGTCCCTGACCTCCGCCGGCAGAGCACAGAGACTCGCACCAAAGCGCACTCCACATTTACAGACACAAGGGCGGGCAGCTGGACAGAACTGCTGGGCTGGGCGTTTCGCACGATGACGGCTCAGCTCTGGCGCCGGGCAGGGGGTCTGCAGTCCGACCTCGGGCGGCGTCCTCGGAGGCCAAAGGCCCTGCAGCGCCCCAGCCCACCATTGCACGCAGCGTCAGATGACCACGCTGACCGTCATGCTCTGGCCGCGCGGCGCGATCTTGCGGGGCCAGGCAAGCAACAGCTTGCGCAGCTCCTCGCGGAAGCTGTCGTGCAGCCAGGCGTAGATGAAGGGGTTGTAGCAGGCCGAGCTCATGGCCAGCCAGTGGCAAAGCAGCTGCACCAGCCCGAAGGCGTAGGGATCGATGGCGCGGGGGTCGAGGTCCCGCAGCAGGTTGAAGACGTGCAGCGGCAGCCAACACACGGCGAACACCACCACGACCACGACCAGCAGGCAGAAGGTGCGGCGGCGCCGCGCGCGGTCCCAGTCGGCCTGGCTCTGGGTCACGCAGCCCGGCACCACGCGGTTGCGGAGCTTCACGGACACCCGCACGTAGGACAGGAGGATGACCAGCAGGGGGAGCAGGTAGGTGACAAGCAGCAGCCCCCAGGCGTAGAGCTGGCGCTGGCGCTCCTGAGCGCCCCAGAACTCCTCGCAGAGGCGCACGTCGTGTGGCTGGAGCTCCACGTGGTAGGTGTGCACGGCGGCGGGCAGCGCCAGCACCGCGGACAGCGCCCAGATGGCCAGCACCGCGTAGGCGCTCAGGCGCAGCGAGATGCGGCGGCGCAGCGGGTGCACCAACACCACGTAGCGGTCCACGGCGATGGTGGTGAGCGTGAACACGGACACGTAGACCGTGACGGGCTGCAGGAAGAAGACCAGGTGGCACAGGCCGCCTCCGAACACCCAGCCGCGGGGCTCGAAGGCGTAGGCCAGCGTGAGCGGCACGCAGGCGGTGCACATGAGCACGTCGGACAGGGCCAGGTTGCCGATGAGGAAGTTGGTCACGTTGTGCAGTCGGCGCACGCGCGCTATCACCAGCACCAGCAGGCAGTTGCCCACCAGCCCCACGACCACCACGACGCTGTAGAGCAGCACGATCAGCCCCTTCAGCTGGTGTACCAGTTGAAGGCTCTGAAACGGCGTGACCGCCTGGGCGCCGGCGCCCGCGGCCGACGCGTTGCCCACCGACGCCTCTGCACTCCGGTTGGCCGGGACTGTGGCCAAGGATCGCGACCCAGGGAATAAGGCAGGGACGCCGGGGCCCCGGGTGGGCAGCGAGGCCATGGCGACCTGTCCAAAGACAAAGTCGGTCACTTCCCATTCTCTCTTACACCCACGGTGCCCGCTCCCTTCCCCCTTCAGCCGGGTCTCCCTTTTTGGAGTCATTGGCCTCCGGACGAGGACGGAGACAATCAAAAGTGCCATCCCCTTCCTCCGTGAACGAACCCTAAGCCTGGTTAGACAGGCACCTGTTACCCAAATGCGTCCTCATGCGTTTGCAGCTGTAGCAGCGCTCGCGGGTCAGACCCAGCAGCGGGACCCTACCTGCGAAGCGGGCTTGGCCGGCGGGACAGCGCGCCGCGGCGGGAGTGCAGGGGGCCCGCCGTCACCCAGCGGCCCTCCGCGCGCGAAGACCGCCCAGGCTTCTCGCTTGTTGGCGGGAGCTGCGCGGATGCAGAGCGCTGCGGCGGGCTCCAGCTTTTGAGAAAGACAGGGAGCCCCTCCCCTCCGGCCCGCCCCACCCCCACTCCCGCGCCCTTGTATGGAAAAGGGGGCGGAGCGAGTGGGTCCGGACAGGGGTCTCGGAGAACCGGCGGAGAGATGGGACCAGAGGAGGGCGGGCACGGCCAGCCTGGGCCAGAATAGCGGTGGCCGGGGGTCTCCACGGCCAGGGCTTTCAGCGCCCCTGGGGGGTCCTGCGCGGGAGAGGGGCGAGGGCAGAGACGAGGCTGGAAGTGCGGGGCTCCCGGGCCGGCCCGGTGCAGTCTCAGAAGGAAGGGATGGAGGGGCGGCGCGGTTTGAGGTACCCCGGGAGAGGCCCGCGTGCTCTGGATCCTACGTGGAGTTCCCGTTGCGGCTGACAGTCGCTCAAGGGGCTCAGGCAGGGCTTGAAACGGTGCAGTCCCGAGCTCTGCTCAGACTTTCCGACCCTCGCCTTCCAGACGGCCGCTTGCCGAGGTCGTGGCGCAGCTGGCGGAGGGTCCAGCCGCGCCGCAGGGATTCAGCACCACGGACAGCTCCTGCTCCGCGGGGCGGGGCGGGGCGGGGGGCGGCGCGCGGGTGTCCCAGGGACGCCTGCACAGTGCCGGCTCCTCTCTGGGTGCAAGGTATCGGGAAGGGAACTGGACGAATTCGAAGAGCTGCCCTGCCACTTGCTTCTTGACCTGGGACTGGGACTGCCAGGCAGGAGGGTGAGCCGGGTCTCTGGGGGCGCAGGGTGGAGACTTTTGCTGGGGTTGTAGCTCACTGCAGGTCGTGCCAAGGACCAGAAAATGCAGCCTTCCTGACAGTCACCCTACAGAGACACACTTCCGGGCCTGCTCACTACTCCCCGGCTCACTTTCTGGCTTGCTCCTCCTCAGCTGCTGTGGCCTCCAGGTCTGCAGGCTCTCCCAGGACAGGTGAAGTCCTGGACTGGGACTCTTCCCCTCCCTCCTCACCTCATTTTAGGATTTTTAAAGATACTAGTAATTGCAGGATTTCAGCTAGGATGGTGAAATTAACCAGCATTTGTGCAGCTTAGAAGTTTCATAAAATCTTCAGTAGTATGATGTTGTCATTGAAATCCAGATTTGCCTGGATGGTGGGGACTGGAGCCAGGGAAGGGGGCTTTGTAACCTTGCTCCCCAGAAGCTCTTACCGCCAGCCTCTCCCCTCCTTGTTGCGGAGGTCAGAGCCTCTCTGTCCTCCCTCTGATAAGTCATTGTCCTTTGTCCTCTGGGTTGATAGATATTCCAGTTATGCTGGAAAGAAGTCACAAATTATTCCACCCTCCAAATTCAAGTGAGTCACTCAGAGCAGAGGAAAAGTCAACACTGGAACAAAAGCAATCATTTTTATGCACCTGTGCCCACTCCCTGAGTACAATACACTTAGCTAAAACCAGTATGACATATTTTTTCAACTGCAAAGTTCCAAATGAGATACAATCTGTGCCTGCCTAATCCCTTACCCAGTAATTTTTGTCATGTTCACCGGCAGGGCTGTACTTGTGTGTACCCAAGAGCGGAGGCGCATTTTGCTTCAAAGTAGCTTAAGCAGAGGGAACTGGTAAAGAAGCTGAAGGGATATTGGATACAGTTAGGCCTCATGATCAGCTCTGTTCTCCAGTGAGTATCATGGATACATCAGAGTGAACACAGTAACAAGAAAACATCTTTGTCGAAAACTGAAGATCATACAAATATCAGTGTTTGGAGGTTAAATGTTGGGCACCCTCCAGAGAAGACAGTGGATGACCATTTGCCAAGTTCCAAATCAAGTCTCATAGAGGCTGCAGTGTGGTCAGCACTTGTAAAGTGGAAAGAAGTGGGCATGCGGTAATAGGGAGGCCCATGTTAGATCTTTACTCCCTGAGATCCTCTAGTCCTAAGGGCAGGCCCCCTCCCAGCCGTTGTGACCAAATCACACCAACATTTGGACTTTCCTGTGCTAGTAGTGGTCCAGAAATGTGAGAGACGGGAGCTGGTGTTGTGGCCCAGCAGGTTAAGCTGCTGCTTTTGATCTCGACATCCCAAATTGAGTGCTGGGTTCCAGTCCTAGTTGCACCACTTCCAATCCAGTTTCCTGCTAAAGCACTTTGGGAAAGCATGTAGTAGGAGACTCAGGTGAGGTTACTGGCTCCTGGTTTTGGCCTGGCCCAGCTCTGGCTATTGCAAGCATTTGGGGAGTGAACCAGCAGATGAGACATCCATTTCTCTCTCTCTCTCTCTCTCTCTGTCTGTCTCTCTCTCTCTCCCTCTCTCTCTCTCCCTCTCTCTCTCTCTCTCTCTCTCTCTCTTCCTTTCAAATAAATTGATCAAAATTAAATAAATGTGAAATCATAAATAAATAACTTTTAGGACAAGTAAAGAAATGGTAGTACCTCACATGGTAGATAGCAAACGAAGGGATTTTATTACTTCCCATTACCCAAAAGCCTTCAATGGCCCCTCACACCATCACCAGACCTTTAGCATGGTATTTCCAACCACCACATGCTCTCATTCTGACCTTTCTTCATTTTGGTGGTGGGAATCTGCCTTCCCACCTCTGCCTGTTTTACTCCTCTGTTCAGGCCAAACTTTGCTGGATGTTGACACATTCCCACTATGCCTACCCAAAACCTCTCTCAGGGTTTCTTTTCTCTCTCTTTAGTGTCAGTTGCTTCACCCTCACCCACCTCTACAAGTCCATACTCTTCACATCATACAGGGCCAGACCCGATGCTCAAAGACTTCTCCATTTCATAATCTTTCCATGCTTTAGTGCTTTCTACCTCTGAAATTTCAAAAGTATTTAGCTTCCCTGCACCCACTAACCCTGACTGCAAACTCTTTATGGACAGGGCCAATGTCTTGAAGCACCTTTGTACCTATAATCTGCCATAAACCCAGCAGATACCCAATGCATGATTGAATGAATAATAACAGACACCCTTTGTCAAGGGCTTTATGCACTGTATTAAACTATTTCACATGTGTTGTCTCACTTGGTCTCCTGCAAAACTATTATACCCATTTTACAGTTGAGGAAATTGGCTAAATAACTAACCATAATGGCACAGCTAATAAGCAGTAGGGGTGGAGGTTCACCTCAACCTGCCTGATTCTGGAGCCAACCCACTCAACTATTATACTCCACTGCCTGTAAATAGTGACAGGTGCACCGTACAACCTGAAAATATAAGCAAGTCAATTGGGATTAAATAACATGGGGACACACTCCTCCTCCCAATGGTTTATTTCTTAAAGCTCTAGGAAACTAAGTTACAATTCCAGCCTTACCATATTTGACAGATCTTTGTGGTTTGCACAAAATGCCCCTTGCCTCAGGAGATAAATCATGGCTCATAGGAAATTGGGAGATGGCCTTTGCTAATGATGACAATAGATGACATGATGTGGAAAACAGCAGACAGACACAAGACAAGTGAAGACTTCAGTTAGGCATCTTGAAAGCCTAATTAAAGGGATTTGAAAATGTGATGCCTGCTAAGTTCATGCTGAAGCACCATAGTTAGCAAAAACAGATGGGAAACCACCAGAGAGCATTGTTTTTAATTATTCGTGCAAACAGAGCTGTTGTTTGAAACTCATCTGAGTCCAGGCAGTGACAGGTAGGAGCTCTCCTAGAGTGATTTTTGAGTTCTAGGTCAGTTCTGAGCCAAGTGTCCCCTGGGTTCCTCAGGCTGAGCCATGCCCTGCATCTAGAAGCTTCTCCATCTCACTGTCTAGCCATGCAGGCAACACGGCAGGGGTGGCCATCGAGAGCAGGGAGTAGCCTGTGATAGGTGGTGTAGGAGCTGGCATGACGTCTCACTCAAAGGGAAGAAACCCCAGGTGTTTGCCTCAGGGGACGTTGAGCAGGTGCTTCCTGCCACAGCCTCCAGACGCACAGTTCTCAGCTTCCAGCTCATCTTGTGCTGCCAGTCGTTCTCCAACCCTTCCACGCCCAACACAGAGTGAAGTCTGAAAAGCTCTTATTTGGGGGGCTGGTGCTGTGGTGTAGGGGGTAAAGCCACCACCTGTAGTGCTGGCATCCCATATGGGTGCCGGTTCGAGTCCTGGCTGCTCCACTTCTGATCCAGCTCTCTGCTGTGTCCTGGGAAAACAGAAGATGGCAAGTCCTTGGGCCCCTGCACCCAGAAGAAGCTCCTAATTCCTGGCTTTGGATTGGCCCAGCTCCAGTCATGTGACCATTGGGGGAGTAAACCAGCGGATGGAAGATTCTCCCTCTCTCTCTCTCTCTGTAACTCTGCCTTTCAAATAAATAAATAAATCTTAAAAGAAAACTCTCTTCTTTGACCAGAAATGGTCTTTCTTTGGATGGGATTTTCTTCCCAACCTGTCAAAAATCAAGTTAGATCCAATGACGTTGAGTCCTCTCACCCAGAGGCATCTCTGAGTCAGATGGGACTGTCCATCTTGCTTCTGCCTCATTCTCACCTGGCTTTCTCCAGCCAAGCAGGTGGGAAGTTCTTGACTCCCTCCTGCACCCTGGATGGATGAGAAGCTACAGAACTTTCCCAGGCAGAAAGCCTATCCTTTGGTGGGCTCAGCCATATGTGGGGTCCAGAAGGCAGGACAAGCATCCCTTTGTTTCTCTCCCTTGTCACCACCAGGAAGACTTTGGCTGGACTGCAGGCATCCTCTAGGGGACAGAGGTGACCACTCACAGCATAGCCTTAAAGTAGAAAAATCCACTTCCTTGTATGGTGTAGATGCCCTGTGATAAGGTAATGTTGTGAGTGGACCAATGCGGTCTT